ATTGTAAATTCCGAAGATATTATAGATTCTGAAAATATTACTGAATCTGAAGATTTTATTGAATTCAAAGATATTATAGATTCTGATACTTTGGATTTGGATAAGGATTTTATATCTCTACCTAAAAATTTTAGCACTCATTGGACAGGCTTTTTGCGTTCAAAACAATTAAAAAATGATAAAGCCTGACAATATAATGCAAAATGTACATATTGTGCCCAAATATTTGAAGCACGTAAAGAAGCAATGACAAATCATATGCTTAATCTATGCTGTAAAATTTCAGCTAAAAGTAAAATACTTTATTCATGTACTGTAAACAAAAAAAATCTGAAGAAGTTACTGAAGTTCCTACTCACAAAGCAGTTTTAGTAACTGATTATTTTGATAAAGCTATTTTATCATCGGAAAAAACTAATGAATTACATACTTTGTTGTTACAAGCATTAGTATATAGCAATATTCCATTTACTTTTGCTGAAAATCCATTTTTTATTTTATTTTTAAAGTCCTTATGATCAAGCTATAGTCCACCATCAAGATATAAATTATCAAACAATATAATTCAAACAGAATATGCATGAATATTAGTAGAAATGGTTGATCGAATTAGTGAAATGTCTGATTTAACTCTTTCACTTGACGGATGGACGGATGTATCTAATAACTCTATATATGCTTTTCTTTTACATAAATTTGAAAATATTAATGAAATTATTAATATAAAAGAATTTTCTAGTATTCGGCATACATCAAGTAATTTACTTGTTGCAATAATAAACTTATTGCAAAATGTCTCTATAGATTTTAGTAAGATTATCACTATAGTTACTGATAATCCTTCGGTTATGATATGGCTTTGAAAGGATATTTCAGAAAAATATCAATATGTTATTGGTATTAAATGCTGCTTGCATATTTTTAATTTAATAGTAAAAGGAGTTTTATCATATTAGCAATATCAAAATATGATTAAAAAAAATTTAGTATTAGTAAATTTTTTTACTAGTTCACATTTTTGGAATGTGAAGTTAAGAAAATGGGCTTTAGAAAATAATATTAAAACTGGATTACAAACTTTTTGTAAAACCCGATGGTATTTACTTTCAAAAGTTTGTCTTTCAGTTCAAACCTATAAAAATGGGTTTCAAACTTGCCTTGAATATAATAATAATTTTCCTAATGAATGCCCTTCTCTCTTAACTAAAATCAAAAAAATAATTACAAGTTGTCACCATTTTTTTGAAAATGAACAATTTACTACAGTTCTTCGATATATAGTTGATGCAATTGCAAACTTGAATCTAATAATACAACTTTAGGTGATATATTTGCAGAGTTGTTATTTATTTATAAAAAGTTAAAATTAAGTGAATTTGAAGATTTTGATTATGGATTAATTGATCATGCAAAAAATATAGTCAATTTTCGAGCAAAAGAATTTGATGAACCTATATATTACTTGGCATTTTTTTTAAATCCAAAATTTCGTAAAATTGCACTATCAAAAAAATTAACTTATGATGATATTATAGTTTATGCATTGACTTTTGCGTAAAAATGGAGCTTTATACGTGATCAAGCTACACAAATTTCACAAAATTTATTAAATTATTATAATAATGAACCACCTTTTAATTTAACAACTTTAGAACCACGAGCATATTGGAAGCATATTTCTTATCAGGCTGGTGCATTAAAAATATTGGCTCTAAAAATATTTGCAATTCACCCTCATTCTGCTGGATTAGAACAACTTTTTTCATGCATGGGCATGACAAAAACAAAAATTCAAAACTGATTAGCTACTTCAATCTTAAAAATGATTTCACAAATAAATCTTGCTTTATCTATAGAAGTTCCTAAAAAAAATCCAACTAAAAAATTGGTTGAAAAAGATAAAGATATTGATGATTTAGATAATTATTATAAAGAATTATTTTCTTCAGATTTTACTGAAGAAGATAATGAATTAGAATTTAGCCACATTCAAGAAATTTCTTTAGAATCAATTCAAAATAATTCAGAATCATTTATAGAAGAGTTTATTAATTTTGATATTATTGAAGAATTAATTACAATATCAGATAAAGTAAAACAAAATATTGATAAAAATAA